AATCTGAAGAGTAAGAGTGAGAAACACTCCTGGGTTGAGATAAGAACAGTTTAATAATTGAAATAAAGTAAAATAGTAGTAGCAGTAATAATAGCAATATAATAATAATAGTAATAATAATAATATACAAAGCAAGTGATGCACAATGCAATTGCTCACCACCTGCTGACCAATACCCAGACAGTTCCCGAGCAGCGATCGCTGCTCCCCGGCCAACCCCCCCCAGTTTCTATACTGAGCATGACGTCATATGGTATGGAATAGCCCTTTGGTCAGTTTGGATCAACTATTCTGGCTGTGCCCCCTCCCAGTTTCTTGTGCACCTGGCAGAGCATGGGAAGCTGAAAAGTCCTTGACTAGCATGAGCAGTACTCAGCAACAACTAAAACATCAGTGTGTTATCAACATTCATCATACTAAATCCAAAACACAGCACTATACCTGCTACTAGGAAGAAAATTAACTCTGCCCCAGCTGAAACCAGGACATCATCCCATCAGCTGTTGGGATAAAATACACTGGGGGAGGCAATCACGACAATTGGTAGGAAAGTGAATATTTTCAGCAGTGTAAGATTACAGAAATGATGAGAAAACGTTCTTTCACTAACTGGAATAGTATCTCAGCAGGACCCTCCCCGCGTTCACCCCTGCAGAAATTCCACATAACCTTGTGCCACTGCACCTGTTCGGACAAAGGCTGAAGATAACCGCAGCCCTTTACCTGTGAGCGCCCGCCACGTCATGCTAGATTTTAAGGCGTGTGAAAAGGAGACACACCAAAAAGCGTGTTGATCTGCTCCCAGTCAGCATCAATATCAAACAGGCGTACAGAGACTTTAACCGGAGTTTGTGTTTAGCAGCATAAAACTGGAAAAAGTAGTTTGGCAGATGCCCCTAGAAGGCAGCTGTTTCCGTAAGCCAGCGCAGCACTGTACTCACACGTGCGTCTGTGAGCAGATGCCAAAGGCACCCCCCTTCTTTCAAACCCAGAAATTGAACATCACTCCCAACACAAAGCTGTCCAACGCTTTGATTTGACGGCCTGGCGTTCCCTACCTCCATAACGCAGCGCAGCCCGGGG